GAGTATCGGCTAACACCGGCCGATATAAGAGAAGCACCTCTTGGCGACGTTGTTAACTACATGAAATCTGTAGGCTGGCTTACGAGCTAGAAAGTGCCTATCTTTTCAGGAGGATGCACAATGGATCTAATGAGGCCTAAGTGCCGTCGGGTAACCCACCCTCAACACATTACAGATACACATGTAACATATTTCGCGGTGAACCTTCAATAGATAACGTATAGCCCTTCGGAGTGGGCAGCCAAAAAATTGTTGTTAATTTTTAAATTAAAATTGAAAAAACACAAATCAAGAAACTAGTAAGTTTAGTGTGTCATCTTTACTTATCAAAGTAAGTCTCCCGTCATTTTCTTGTTTACATGATTTGTTTACATAGGCGTAGAAAAACAACTCTTCGCAACTAGACCAGGGCTGAAGCCTTTGAAAATAGTAAAAAGTAAAAAAAAATAATAGTAGGATGAAACCCTTTGGAAAAAGAAGAGAATATAACAAAAATGAGAGGAACAATCATTTACGGGCGATCTGGGGTCGGGAAGTGGAAGGTGGTGAGTTTTTAAGGGTAACAAACGGATTATCTCGATTTCCATCAAAACTACAAGTCGTATGGAAAAAAGATAAATGGCAAGTTTTAGGCAATAAAAAGATCTACCACTTTTGTATTTACACTTTTTTCACATAACTTCAAAATTGATGTGAAAATTCAAATAACCAAGTTTTTGGTTTTTTATATTTATGACGAAATTTTTGACGAAATTTAGTGAAAACTTACCTTTTTTATGTCCCAAACACACTGTAATTTTTTTGATTTAAAATATTTATTTTTTTACCTTATTTTGACTTAATATCTAAAAAGCACCCTAATTTTCCATCGAAAATTCTCCCGTCAAAATATCTGTTTTTTTAAAAAGTCGGTGTACTTTCTGATGGTGTAAAAAAATGTATACATTACGATGGTAAATGTTCTCAGAAAATGCAAAGAAAACTCCAATCCAAAAATTTGAACATAAATTTGTGCATCTTAAACCATGTTTTCTTAAAATATTGTAGATGTCTTAATAAATATTAACTTTATTAACCCTTTTGGTTGTTAATTATAGTAGTATATTTCGATTTGCAATTTTTTTGTTAATCAATGTAACATGGAATCTTACGTTTTTCGAGTAATTAAAGTGTAAATTTTAATAAATAGGTCAAAATTGTACATAATGCATTTTCTGAGAATATTTACCATAGTAATGTATATGTTTTTTTACACCATCAGAAAGCAATGATTTCAATGAACAAAAAGTTCACTGATTTTTTTAAAAAAGCAGATATTTTGACGGGAGAATTTTCGATTGAAAATTAGGGTGCTTTTTCTTTATTAAGTCAAAATAAGGTGAAAAAATAAATATTTTAAATCAAAAAATTACGGTGTGTTTAGGACATAAAAAGGCAAGTTTTCACCAAATTTCGTAAAAAGAATTTTTTTTTTGTAAAAGATAATAAAAAACCAAAAACTTGATTATTAGAATTTTTCACATAAATTTTGAGGTTATGTGAAAAAAGTGTGTAATACAAAAGTGGTAAACCTTTGTATTACTTAAAACTTTGCCGTTTAACTTTTTTTTTACCCTCAAAAACTCACCCCCTTCCACTTTCCGACCGCAGATCGCCCGTAAATTATTTTTCTTTTCATTTTTATTATATTCTCTTGCTTTTCCCATAGGTTTCATCCTATTATTTTTTTTGTTTAAAAAATTATCGACCCTTTATGAAATATTCCTTTGTTTTATTATCTTTAAAAGGATATTTCTGGATTGCCTGATTAATTTAAAAACTTTCGTACGTTTTAAAAAATTCTTAGCATCAACCTTTTTGGAAAAAATAAAGAATTTTACGTTATAAAGGTAGAACATAATATGTGTGTTCCTTTTTAAATTAGAATTAAATCTAAAATGAATAGTGGGCTAGTCTCTGGTTGTAATTCGGCTGTATTAATTATTAATTAATATTATTTTTAATACCTATACATTTTCTCAAAAAAAATCTTTAAATTTCTATTAAAACATCAATTTTTTTACACCACTTTAGAAAGAGCTCCATTAATATTAAGTTTTGAAAAGGTACCCTCATTGTTTGGATCACATTGTAGTGAATATTATTTAATAAAATTGAAACTACCATTTTTTAATCGTAATATGGAAAAAAACTCCCATGTGGGTCCAACTTTATGACACACATTGTATTATATTTGTTTTTTCTTTTGTAACAAATTCAAGTAGGTACGTTATATCTAAATAGGTATGCTATAGAACATCGCACCAATTTCATGTAAAGATGGCTCTTAGCCAATTGTTATAATTTTACGAAATATTGTAATAAAAGTCATTAGAAGTTACATGTGAACGTTTAAATCAGTTGTTTCGTCTAGTTTCGGACATATTAATTTTTGACAATCACAATGGCTATTTTTTAAAACAAGGTAAGGTTCGCTTATCAAAAAGTATTACTTTTTAGATGATTAGAAACAAAATAATAGCATTGCTGGTTTAAAGGAAGTCAGTCAGTCATTATACATGGTGGGTCGAAAACAGCGACAAATTAGCATATATCTGGAACTGACCATTTTTCATTAAAATATCTTTATTGGGACTCTTTTCTTATGATAAGAATAAGTTTTTTTAAAAGTTTTGAGTTTTTATCAAAACATTTTTTTTTTAAATGTTTGTTTTTAAAACTTCATGTTTTTAACATTGGTCATATAAAACAGTTTTTTGAGAAAATAAATTTGATTTGAAGCCCAAACTGTTGAAACAAGACATAACGTAATTGCTTAATATGATTACCTACAAAAGTTACAATCACATTTTATACGGGGAGTGTTTGCAAATATTGTTTGGCGGTAAAATATCATCAGAAATAAGATTGGATAAAATTTTCTAGAACATCAATTTTCGATATTTTTCTATCAAGAACAAAGTATAGGCAAGTAATGAAACTTGCACTTTGAAATATAACTGAAAAATGTGATTCTAATATGTCCCGAAATTAGACGGTCATGTTTTAACAGCGTAATTTATAAGTGAAGTCCTGATGACACGTTTTTGTAAATATTTTCTAAACTTTTAAAGATAACTAAGTGAAATTTGTTAAAAATGTTAAACTTTTTACGCTCTATTTAATGGACTAAACGTCAGTTTTTGATCATCTTAATAGGTGGGTAAATTAGGGGAGGGGCTTAGGGTTAAATTGTCCTAAGTTTTTTTGTTGATTGTTTTTAACATTTTTGACTACACAATTTGGATAACCAATATTTTCTTTATAATAAAGTTACTTTTGTTGTATCTCGCTAGGACTCACCATTTTCAAGAGAGTCATTTGAAAATTTCATGATATTCGAAAGTTTAAACAATAATTAGTAGGCCTGTGGAATCAGAAATTATATTTTTTTTTACTTTGGAAAACCGGTGACTAAAGAAATTTTAGAAAATATTTACAAAAATGTGCCATGAGGAGTTCAGTTGTAATACCCTGTATCTTGAAAACGAAACGTTTTCGGACCTATGTTTATTAGATTACGCTGTTAAAATATGACCTTCTAATTTCGAGATACCCTGTATATTAGGTGTAAAACCAATTTCAAATAATATTTGTAAACAGCCCTCTTATAAAATTTGATTGTAACTTTTTGTAGTTAATCATATTAAGCAATTACTGTATGTTTTCTTTTAGTAGTTTTGGCTTCAAAGCGGATTTACATTCCCAAAAATGATTTTTTAAGTGACTCGATAAAGACATTTTAATGAAAAATGCTCAGTTCCACTAACTGGAACCAATGATAAAAATTGGCGAAATATACTAAATTGTTGCTATATTTGACCCACCCTGTATAAAAAGCGACTTTTTTATCTTAATGACTGACTGACTGACATATCATCTTACTTTCTTTAAACCAGCAATGCTATTATTTTGTTAATAATCATCTAAAAAATAACCCTTTTTGATAAGTAAACCTTACCATGTTTTAGAAAAACAGCCATTGTTATGATTTCCAAAATTAAACATAGAAATTTTTACAATATTCCAGAAAATTATCAAAATTGGTTGAGAGCTATTTTCACATATATTTGGTGTGGGGTTCTTTCCAGTTTTTTATTTTATTTGTTATGTTTTAAATTAAAAACCTTAAAGGAAGTGGAAAATTATAATTTTGGTTCCAGCATCACGTCTACTACTTTAAAAATTTGAATTTTTAAATTTTGGATAATTATTTTTGTAGGAAATTTATCGATCCCATTTCAAAACAACTCCTAGTAGTGCCAACCTCACGATAAAGTTATTGATAACCAAAATGGGTTTAAGTGACATTTTACCTACCCATTTTTATGAGGAGGTTATTGCATTCTAAAATTTGAAATAACAAGAGATCTTCTCATTTTGGAGTCTGAGGAACCCAAAAAAATATATTTTGAAAAAATGTCCCGATGAATGTTTGTGTATGACGTTTTTTTTTGTTAGCAAGATACAGCCCAGCCAATTTCGATGGGATTTGGAACATGTGGTTTCCACGGGCCCCTGATTAGCTGATTAGATTTTGGGCATATTTGGAATAACTGCCGGATACTTTATAGAGGGTTGTTTTCTACTATTTAGTATATTTCTGTTATTTATGATTGGACAAGAAATGAAAGTTTTTTGACTGATCCTTATCTATATTTTTTTTTATATACATGATGTCCCTAAAATATACCGTATTGTAGATATTTAATGAAAAATAAAAAATTCAAATCTTTTTTTACCGGAGTCTAACTTTAGTGGAAAGTCAATAAATATAAAAACAAACATATACTTAATAAAATTTAGGATTTTAAATAATTCTAAAATTTTAATTGTGGATTTCGAGGGAATTTAGTTAGATCGTTGTCGCTTCACAATTTACAATTTATTCCGGGACACTGTGTATAAGTTGTAAATTTTGATTCAGAAATTATTTATTTTTTATTTTCAAAAAAACTTACTTTTACAATCCCTGCAGAAAAATATTCCCAAAAATAAATAACACTAAACAATAAAAAACCAACACAAAATTCAAACTTCCACAAAAAAAATTCAAAAATAATCAAAAAATTCCTAAGCAACCGGCGAAAAATCACAAGAACAAGAAACGATCGCGCATCGACACGCAGCACGCGATCTTTTTTTCGCTTCTCTCGTTCTCGGCCGTCTAGATCTCTACCCAAACGCGATGATACTGGCACTCCATGGCCTATTAGGATGCACTTTTGTGCTTTTTGAAACTAACTAGGAGGCTATGATTTGGCGCCCCTTCCTTCATGGATGGCAGATTTGCGGTTTTCAGTTGTTTTCAGGAGCAGGGAAGATTAGGAAACCAGGATACTGACAAAGTTGTGGGTGGGTGGGCTTTGAAGTTGCTTCTCTTTTCGGCGAAATTATCAAGATTGCTAGCGATCGTGTGGCTTGCGGTAAGCGCTCGTGGGCGTTTATCACTGATAAAATGATTAATTTGATTATACAAATTGATGATGGTTGCTTAATTTTTATCAGGAAATTGATTTATTATAGGATTTTGTACAATTTCTTTAAAGTGTAATACAAAGACGAATTTATGAACTTGTGACATATTTTCTAAAAAAATAATTAGCAAGTTTTACTTTTTTTATAATATTTTGAAAATTATATCTAGTATCAATAATTACTATACTTTCTTTTTTTAAGTGTTGTATTTAGAAATAGTAATGATAAGAAAATGTTAAAATTTATTGAATTACTTAGCACAAAAATCTGTACTATAATTTGTTAATTACTGAGGTCTCAGTATAGTATTCGTGTTGACGAAAAAAATGTATCACTCTAATGCAAAGAAAACGATAATTGCAGAATGAAATCTCAGATACTATAGGGGAGCGTGGGGGAATATTGACCTCGTGGTAATATCGATCATATTCAAATCTCAAAAACTACGCGCCATCTCTCCCCTTTTCAAAATTTCTCTCGAAGAATGCCACGTCTAGTCAATGTAGTGATCTTTTTTTCAGCGTGCAGTATACTGTGTTAACAAACGGTTAGAATTTCCCTTTAGAAATTCCTTTTTAGTATATTTTTTTGAATAAAATGCCCATACATAGGAAGAATTTTCATCTCAGGGTGGGGGAGGGGGATGATCCCTACGCCCCCCCTGGAGCCTCCCTTGCATCGATTTAACAAAAAGAAAAGAGTATGTGGGAAGGACTGGCTGTACGGTTTTATGCGTCGGCAGCCACAGTTATCATTTAGAAAACCCGAAGCTACTAGTATTTCAAGAGTTACAGCATTCAATAACGAAGAAATAAACATCTCTTTCAATAACTTGGAATCACTTTGCGACAAATTTAAATATGAGAGCTACAGAATATATAATGTCGATGAGACTGGCATTACTAACGTCCATAACCCAGGGCGCATAGTTGCGAAGAAAGGCGAAGAAAGGCGAGCTATTACGAGTGGAGAAATGCGCCAAAATACCACTGTGGTATGTTGTATGAGGGTTTCGGGTCAATACATTCCGCCTATGTTCATTTTCAAGAGGAAAAGGATGAAGGATGGTTTGGATCGAAATGGTCCATTTGGAGCAGTCTACAAATGTTCAGATAGTGGGTGGATTACAGAAGAACATTTTACAGAGTGGTTACAACATTTTGCAAGATTTAGTAATCCTACTACAGAAGATCACGTTCTGAATATTCTAGACAATCTACACACTCTAGTTTGCCTTCTTGTAGACTTTATAAAGATTTAGGCACACACGTTCTCCCAAATCCACCCCACACATCACATCGTATTCAACCGTTAGATGTAACATTTTACAAACCGTTGAAAACTTCTTACCACCAAGAATGTGACAAATACATACGAACAAAACAGTAAGAAAAAATTAACCAAACAGACTTAGCCGAAATGTTTGCCAAAGCTTATAACATGGCAGCTACTATCGAAAAAGGCGTGAATGGTTTTAAAACAACTGGAATATTTCCCGTTGATAGGAATATATTCAAAGAAGAAGAATTAGTAAGCCCAATCAAGAATAACATAGAACAACAGGTTGCACTTAAAATAGAAGATGTTAAGTACAAAAAGTCAAGAAAAATATTTGTTCTGTTAAAAATCCTGTTAAAAAAATTACACAACAGACTACTAAAGTGGAAAATAAAAACAATAACGACCTCTGTTGTGTTTGTGGTGAATTTGGAGCCAACAATGAAGTTGTGGTAGCGACAATTGTTTTTGTTAAATATCTTACTGTTTCTTACCAAAAAAGTCATGTTGTCTGTTGCCTTAGTCGATATTACCAGACTTGTCGATTTTACCCTATTCTTGTTTGTTTTTTGTTTTACCTGATTTAACTTACGACAAATGTGTTATAAGCCTCTGTATGCAACAATATATTTTCTAGTATTCTATGTTTTTGAATATTTTTGTACTATATTCATGCAAGGAATTATAAGATTTTCTTAAGTAGTCGATATTCCCCCACGTTCCCCTAATCTAGTCAAAATTATAAAAAATATTACGAAATGCCGTTTTATGTAACTCGTTCATGTTGCGGGGCCTCGCTCTACTCGTCTCGCAAGTATTCACTTGTTACATAAAATAAGACATTTCGTAACTGGTTGCATAAATAGCTATTAAACTGAGAGCTTACATTATACAACTTTTGAAGGTTATTTTCAGTTAACTGCTAATGTCGTCAACTTTTAATTTGTATATCAATATGTTAATTTCTATTTTTTAGACTTTGAGATATTTTTAAATAAAATTTTTGTCCAATTGATTTTGTTACCTTGGTCATTTATCAAAACATAATTATTTTGAGGTCCTGATTTATAATTAAAATATTAGCAATATATGCAATTTCGTAGATAGTAATTTATTTGTAGAAGGCCACTATTAGAAGGTTACTACGATTTACTGTTGTTAATTTGAGTACTAAAAATGTATAGTAGTTAAAGAACTTTTTTTTTAATAGTGCGAAATATATCTTAGGAAAATCGATGAAACTACAGCTTAGGAAGGGGAGTGAAATATAATAAAAATGTATTTAATTATAATTAAATAAAAATAACAAGCATTTATGTTTAAATTTTTTAACACATACGTTAGTTACTCTCTTTATGATACACCCCGTATAAATATTGTAACGTAATACTATATAATTAACATAAGAAAATCAATATATTTCATTATTCAATCTATAGTTTGCATTACCTAATTTAATAATCTTACATAAAATAAAAATCTTATTTCAATTACAAAAATAATAAAGTAAAATCAAAGCCAACCCTAGTAAATGTCGTTTAACGTATTATCAAATATACAAAAAAGCTTTCGCTTGGAAAAAACACCTGCAAGTAGTGAGAACCCAGACGAAATATAGCTTTCCGTTTAAATAAACAAAAGCTCCGTCTCGCTCCCACTCACAGACCTGTTTCAGTCACACCTGCATTAGCCTGTTTAAAATAAATTGTTAAAATAAATGCACACACGTATTCAATAGTTGTAACACATCACTACATCTCCACACCAAGCGTGGTCAAAACACACCATGTCTTTAAACCAAGCACAAGACAGTGTCAAAACACACAATTTCTCTAAACCAATCACAAGATAGTACCAAAACACACAATTTCTTAAACCAATCACAAGACACTGTCACGAACACACTCTTTACAAGACGTGATGTTACATTTTTTCAGAGAGAACTATTCGAGCCTCAAAACAAGCAACAACAAAATCAATTTCCTCACGAATGGTCCCATTTTTAATATAAAACAATACAGAAAGATGTTTTAAACCAGCATGTTTCAAACTTAATTACTTGTTAAAGTATCACTCAAGTTAAATAGTTATAAAATAAGAAAGTTTATAAAGTTAAAATAAATCAGGTGACCAAAACAATCATTTTAATTTCTGCATGACAATTAATTTATCTACCTATCAACGAGATTTCTAGAAGATTCGTCGTAAATACAGTTCACGACCTCGTAAATCGGAAGGAACCATTAAGCAGGTAGCTAAATTTAAGAAAACACCGCTGCTTTTACAGGTTCCTTTATATGAAAATTAATTTTACCAAGGAGTTTTATTAAATTTCATCCTTTTCTCACCTCTCTATACAATTTTTCGATTTTCTTAAGATATATTTTGTTTCTTAATAATTTGGCCCTAATTTTATTTCAATACTCCGTTTTCTTCATGGCAATATTAATATAAAAGTATTATTATTAAATTTCACCCCTTTAATGTCGATTTTTCTAATATGTGTTTTGTATTTGTAAACTAATTTTATTTGAATACTTCGTTCACTTCATAGAAAAATACATTTCGATACCACTGGGTGTTCAGGAGATTTAATATCTTTCGTATACCGAAATGCACTTATCTTCATTATTTCGCCAGCAACTAGAACAACCAAATTTTCAATACATTTAGCAACAACTTCATAAGTTCATAGTACACACGCAGGTTTTATCTTTATAACAGAAACTAAAAAAAATTAAAAACAAAATAAGATTTTTTTACACACCTGATCGAGGGTTTCATTTAAGAATTGAATAAAGGAATGTTTTCGTGTATGTCAGTGATATGGTGTTACTTGTATTGTGTTCCTAAACATCGTAACAAAAATTATTTTGTATGCTACGCACTATACCCAATTTTTAAGCACCCACCTGTATGGCCCACTATATACCAAACTTCGTTTATTAAATTAAAGCCCATAAAGATGTCGTTTTCATGATTTTTATTCTCCATTTATAAAGCAGGTTCATATCGTTGACTATGTAGGAATCGTGATACAATAACATTTTTCTTACAAATAAAATATTTAAAGTAACTCACTAGACTTTTATCTTCAATAGAAAATTATAGAATACCGACGAATAAAATCAAATTTTTAAAAAAAATCATAGAAGTAATATAACATAATATTTCCTTTCTTACTCTTGGAAATATGATGATGTATGAAATACCATAAAAAACACAAGTTGGAATATTATGTTAATATAAATACAGTACCAATGTTTTTGTACTTGTACGCAGAGCTGGGTAGTACTCGAGTAAATTGTACTCAAAAATGTACTCGAGTAATCAAAGTACTCAGTAATTGGTACTTGTAAGTACTTCCATCGTGATGGGACTTATACTCGAAAAATTTCGAGTAGGTACTTTTTATTTCAGAGTACTCCGTACGTTTTATTCCTACAGCTGACGAGTAATAA